GGGGCCCGTGGGCCATGGCCGCTGAGCCTGCGCGTCCGGAGCCCATGCTCCACAACGGGAGAGGCCACAACAGTGAGAGGCCCGAGTGCTGCCAAAAAAAAAAAAAAAAGGGATGTTCCTTCCTGTTGAAGTCAAAAGAATTGTACTGTTTAGAGAAAGTCACAGATATGGTGTCTTTTTATATATTTCGCCTTATGCTACCCAAAATTAGTAAAGAGAAACTCAGAATAAAAGGAGTTTTTAAGAGCCAGAAAGAAGAATAACAAAAACATGGCTCCAGTACGCTGGAAAACCGTCTGGAGGTTCCTCAAAAGGCTAAACATAGTTACCATCTGACCTGGCAATTCCACTCCCCGGTACATACCCAAGAAAAACGAAAACTTACATCAACACAAAAAGTCTGTAAGAATATCCACAGCAGCACCATTAGTAATAGCCAGAAGGGAAGAGAAAGCCAAACGTCCATCAACTGATGAGTGGATGAACAAAATGTGGTATATATCCATATAACGAAATATTAGTTGGCAATAAAAAGAAATAAAATACTGATACAAGTTGCAACTTAGATGAACCTTGAAAACCTGCTGTGTGAAAGAAGCCAGTCACAAAAAAACACACATGGTATGATTCTGTTTATGTGAAATATCTAGAATAGGCAATCAATAGAGACAGAAAGTAGCTTAGTGGTTGCCTAGGGCTTGGGGGATGTGGAAGCTGGGGATGTCGACTGAGGAGTACCAGGTTTCTTTCTCAGGTGATGAAAATATTCTAAAATTGATTGTAATAAAGGCTGTACAACTCTGAATATACTACAAGTCACTGAACTATATACTTTAGCTGGGTGAACTGTGTGGTATGCAAATTATATCTCAAACTACTTTCTTAAAAAGGCTCTGTGGGCTTCCCTGGTGGCGCAGTGGTTGAGAGTCCGCCTGCCGATGCAGGGCACACGGGTTCGTGCGCCGGTCCGGGAAGATCCCACATGCCGCGTAGCGGCTGGGCCCGTGAGCCATGGCCGCTGAGCCTGCGCGTCCGGAGCCTGTGCTCCGCAACGGGAGAGGCCACAACAGTGAGAGGCCCGCGTGCCGCAAAAAAAAGAAAAAAAAGGCTCTGTGACATAACAGAAAATGCATATATTGGTCTCTGTCCCCAGTTCCTGGCACAGGGCTCCCAAAACCCTAAGTGATGAGAGGGTTAGGAGCATCTTTTGTTCTAATGGGGTGATTCTGGGTGGGCTCCTGGGCGGGGGCTGGTCACCCGAAGGACCCAGCCATGATCTTCAGCTCCACGCCCCCCATTCTCCAAAGAGGGGAGAGGGGCTGGAAATGAAGGTCATAATTGATCACCCTGTAAGGAAGCCTCCTTAAAATCCCAATAGTGGGGGTTCAGGGAGCTTCCAGGTTGGTGAACACATCCACACACGGGGAGGGTAGTGCACCCCAACCCCATGGGGTCAGAAGCTCCTACTACACTCAGGACCCCTCCAGGCCTCACCCTCTGTATCTCTTCAACTGGCTGTTCATCTGTATCCTTTATCTTAAACCCTGAATAAACTGGTAAACACCTAAGTGTTTCCCTGAATTCTTCGGGCCGCTCTAGGAAATTGATCGGACCCGAGGAGGGGTCACGAGAACCTCTGATTTGTAACCAGATCAGACAGAAGTTGTGGGTAACCTGGGGACCTACTGCTTGCGACTGGCACCCGAAGTGGGTGACAGTAGTCTGGAGGGACCAAGCACTGAGCTTGTGGGATCCAATGCCATCTCTAGGTAGACGGTGTGAGAACTGAGATGAATCGTAGGACACCAGCTGGCGTCGTGGAGAATTACTTGGTGGTAGGGGGAAACCGCCACACGTTTGGTGACCAGAAGCACTGTGAGTGTGGCTGCGGTGTGACAGTCAAGGTGACACAGAAAAGAGAAACACAGAAGGACAGGGAGACCTGTAGGTTTTTTCAAAATACAGACTCCCTTTTCAATACTTTCTCCCCTGTACTTATGGACCATGACAAAGCTCGAAGTCCTAATGTTTTGTTCAGGATAAGAAAAGCAGACAGCTGGATTCCTGGGCAGCACGACTTCCCTTTTCCCCTTTCTCCTTCTGCCCCTAGAGTGACACAGGCACTGCTTCAAGCCAGGAGCTGTGGAGCCACATCTTAAGACAAAGCATACACAGCACAGTCTAATGATAAACTCTTAACTTGTACACGTGGTGTTGTCAACCTTTGGTCCCAGCGCCAGGGCAGTTCTCCACACCAGGCTCCCGTCTTCCAGCTCCGTACCTTCCTTCCGTGGGTGACAGCTCCTTCAAGTCTTCCAGGCCAGGCTTCACGTTCAGTAGCTTCTTATAGAGAGCCAACGGGAAGTGCAGGTCCACCACGGTGGAGTTGTAGATGGCGAGTCCGCAGGTTATGCCAATCAAGTGAAACCAGTTGTGCTCTACAAAACACTTTCACCACATGTGCAAATGTGTTAAAAAGAAAAGCAGGGACTTCCCTGGTGGGCCAGTGGTTAAGAATCCGCCTTCCAATGCAGGGGCCATGGGTTTGATCCGTGGTAGGGGAACTAAGATCCCACATGCCACAGGGCAACTAAGCCTGCGTGCCGCGACTACAGAGCCCACGTGCTCTGGAGCCCGCACACCACAACGAAGAGCCTGCGCCGCAACTAGTACCCGACACAGCCAAAAGTAAATAAACATTTAAAAAAAAAAAAAGAAAAGAAAAGCAGTGTTTGCAGCCCTCAAAACAATCTGCCATTTACCTTAAAATATTTTCAGTACGAAAGAATGAAGATCTCGTTAATATTTAGTTACCTTCTGAAGCAGAGAAGTACCCCTAACAAAAGTTCAGCTGTCCCCCAAAGATGCAATGCTGTAAGTTAAGCATTTACAGCTCATCTGTGATACAGAGAACAGCTTACCCTCACTTAGAGCAGCACTGTCCAACAGAACTTTCTGCAATGATGGACACATTCTATTCTGTGCTGTCCCAGATGGCAGCCACTAACTACACGTGTCTACTGAGCACTTGAACCGTGGTTAGTACAACTGAGGGAATGACTTTAGTATTACTTAATTTTAATTAAATAAAATTTAAACTTAAATAGCCACAGGAAGCTAATGGCTACCTTTCAAGACAGTGCAGATCTAGGGAGAAAACTCCGGTAGAAAAAGAGCTAAACCATAGTTTGCTTGAAATGAGAATGCCTTTTAAAACTTAGCTCTCCGACTGAATTTTCAAAAAGTGTGAGTATGTGTATATTTGTATGAGTATTCATACACATACTATCACTGTTATTAAAATAAGATATATTTGACAACTACTTTTTATATGTCATAAAACCAATTTCTTTATCATACCCTACTCTTTCTACCCTCCGAGGATTACGAAAACTTGGAGCTTACCTACTAGAAATGGAAATGGGGCTAATGGGTGACAAAACACACTATGAGGTCTTAGCAACGGGTGAAACATGAAGACGGGAAACGTGATGATAATCATGTTAAATGATTACCTCTGTCATGCTCCCCTCTGTAAACACCAGAAGGCGAGGGATTGGCCTGACAGTTTAATTCAATCCATCTGTTGAAAGGTGACGTCACTAACTTACCGTATCTGAAAACCACAAGAGATGTGAATCCTGATAGTAGGTAAACATTCCATAGATGGGATTCAACAATTCTTTTAATAGTAAAAGAAAGAACTCCTTTGTGACACCACCAGCATCCACTGCTTCTTCCCCATCAAAAATGACCTTGAAATAATGAAAGCAGAATTAGGATTTCAGGGAAATCACTGGCATTTTATATTTGTTTTCTGTTGTTGTTGTTGTTGTTTTTTAGCAAATTCTTTCCAAAGTCAGGACAAAGAAAGGAAGATGTAACAGAATACACTGACGCAATGAAATCTGCGAAGCGTATCTGCTGACTATTAACAAGGCACTTATAAACACACAAAATTTTACCAGGCACTTCATGGGATACAGAGAAAGTCAGAAGTTTACCATATGTCCACAGAAAGTTTACCATCTATTTGGGGCAGGGAGGCAAACACAAAAGAACCAATTCGAGAATACATTTTATTTTCAACGAGTCAGATACACTGAGAGGTAAATGTTCTGGCACACAGAGAAAAGCAGTGACTGACTTGAATAAAGGAAGAAATCTCTCTCAGTGGGGTTCCTGAACTAACCGATGCATATGAAAGGGAGGACAGCAACCTGAGCAGACACACACCTGGGCTCTGTGAGAGGCTACAGAGAGACCCATCACAACAACAGCTACAGCAAACCAAAGGACGAGATTTATTAAGAGCCTTCTACATGCCAGCCAGCACTTAAACTCTATTAACCTAATCCTCAGAACAGTCTTACACACTGGAATTACTCTTATCATCCCCATTTTACTGGTAAGGGCTCAGGTACAGAACTAAAAACAGCATTTAAGAAAGCTTATCCTGGGAACTTCCCCGGTGGTCCAGTGGTTAAGACTCCATGCTTCCAATGCTGGGGCCACGGGTTTGATCAGGGGACAGGGAACTGAGATCCCGCGTGCTGCATGGCACAGCCAAAAAAAAAAAAAAAAACCAAAAGCAAGCTTATCCCGGTGCCTGTGGTCAAGGTTGCCTAGAGCAGGAGAGTAAAGGTCTCTGATTATATGGATGCCAGTAGAAGACTTAACTCAAACACGCTACCAAGCAAGAAGTGTTCCATCTGAATTACTGATTGAAAACAAGGGGCAAAGAAAGCGCCCTCTCTTTGCAATATCAAAAACCTAACCCAGAAGTTCTAGGGAGAACTCCCAGGCAGACTGATGGGACTGATACTACTTACTGGAAATTTTTAAAAGGGTGACAGTATCATGGAGACCATCAGTTTCTTGCCTATTACATTTCAGAAACTGGAGTTTACAACAGGATTGGAAATAGAGTTAGGAAAGTCTTCTGAAGGGAAAGGTAAATCACTAAATATTTACTGACCAGCTACTGCGTACCTAGCATTGTGCTAAGCCCTGGGAATTCACTAAGCGGTGACACAAACATGCCTAATCTATGAGGAAAGACAATTTCTTAATTTTATCATTTCCAAGTACTGAGAGGGCCTATCCTAACAGGCCAGCAGCTGCCCAGACAATTTCACTACTTTTCCATTCTTTTTTTTTTTTTAACCTTCTTTCTCTTAAAACTTTGACATCCAAAGACTTCCTAGATGCTGGCTTGGTAGCTTTACCTAGCTGAAGCTTTAGCAGTACTGTTGTTCGCTTGGTTTTGGTAGAGCTGGAGCAGGTAAACTGAAGAGAGCAGACAAAAAAGGCCCTATATTCCCCTCAAGTAATCCACTGGCATTTTTATCTGATGTCACGTTGAGATGTTCTCTTTGGTGACTGGACAGAAGGAAGTGAGTAAATTCTTGTAAAATGAATGAAAGAAAGAATGAATGGCTGTACTCCACGATTTTAATAAAATCTCTGCTGCTTCATCAACACTGTTTAAAGAAAACCCAGAAGGTATTTAGAGGAATATACGGAAGGGCTCACTTTGAGAGGCTTTTTCAAATCAATATCAGAATGAATGCTCAGCTCTCTCAGGGCATCTCCAACAAGGTTGCTCCTGCGAACATGAAGGACCAGGAAGGGGCTTCTGGCCAGCAGAGGCTCCAAGGTGAGAAGCATGAAGACGTTCTGCAGGTTGGCCCCGTTGACTGCCACCTGGAACGGCACATCCAAGAGCGCAGTTATCACTCAGAGCACACCTGTGAGTGGGGACAGCAGCCAGGCCTGCCTTTGGACCGGGGGTAGGTCGGGGCCAAGCTGACTGCAGCTCCATTTTGGTCTTTATTTTCCTCCTAACATTTCCAGTAGATTTTCTCAGTTACTCATGTTTACAAAACACACAAATCTTTCTAATCTGAACGCAAAGAGATTAAATGAAACACTTTATGTAGACCATATGATCCATAACTCATTCCAGGAAAATAATTTAGACTAAGCTGATGAAGACTGAAATAATATCTTAGTAGAAGAAAGTGATGACGGACAGTGGGTAGAAACTATGACTTTCAAAGTGGCAGGAAGAGCAACCTAATAACCCCTTGCTAAATGGTGTTTATTCTTTGAAAAATGTCCATTTTCTCTGGAAAACCTTTAAATTGTCAATATCATGGATATATCACTGTGAAAACATATATATATACAGAGAGAGATAGATATAGATAAGAGCTAGAGAGAGACAGACAGATGGGGAAAGGGAGAGGGAGATGAATGAAGTTATATATCCACCAACAACGGGAATTGGTAGATTTGGATCGCTAATTCACAGATGTCTTTGTAGCCTTGTCAAAACCAATTATATTTTACAATAAAAATGGGTGTTTAAAATAAATTAAACAAATCTCTGTAACTTGAATTTTTGCTCAGTAAAGAACTGCCAAGCTCCATTTAATTATCTATCAGGGGTCAGCAAACAATGGCCCAAGGACCGAATCCAGCCTGCTGCCTGCTTCTGTACAGCTCTTGAGCTAACAGTAGTTTTTACATTTTCAAATAGTTTTTTAAAAATCAGAAGAAAAATATTTCACTACATGTGAAAATTATATAAAATTCAAATTTCATGCTACGACAGAGCTGAATACCTGAGACAACTCTATGGCCCACAAAGACACGTATTTACTATATGGCCCTTTATGAAGACACTTGCCACCCCCGTTTATGTAGATGTGCATTCACATATATGTGTTATATTCAATATAAAATTGCTGAAAATTTTTCTAACAGTTCTAAAAGTTACAATGGAACTTCATCCAAATCAACTTTCTCCTATTAGGAAAAATTACAAGTGAAAGTATAAGATGAAAGAAACCCATAAGAAGAGAAAATAAGGTTTAAAATATGTTACCTGCATCTGCAGTTCAGCATCGGTCTGTAACATTTTGGTCTTGGCTTGGGCATCAAAGATGAAAGGGTAGGAACAAAGTGTTACAGCATCCTAGAATAAAACATATTATTGGCAATATTATAGTATCCCACAGAGAATACTGCTGGAAAAATACATAAATAAATTTTACAGAGTCATTTACCTGCATTATAGATGGTCTAGCCTTCTGTGTAAAGAAAAATAAAAAGTCTCTTAGTTGGATTACAGAACTTGAACTTCCTACCTCCCACAAATAACAAAACAGATAACCTATCTGACCATTTGGCCATGGAACTAACACCATTTGAACAGCTGACTGGAGTTTTGATGGAACAGACTAGTTGTTTTGATGAATACAGACTGAGAAGAACACTAAAAACAATTTAAAAAAATTTTTTAAAGGACCTTTACAAACCATTTCACTAAGCCCTTAATTCACAGTATTAATAGAACTCCCATTTATAAGAAATCTAATTCCAAAACAGGAGCTTTACAAATATGACTTCAGATGTTAATTTTGTTGGGTAAAGTGGATAATGCAAATTTCATCTGTCAAAATGTTAAGTCTCCCTTTTACACACACACACACACACACACACACACACACACACACACACACACACACACACACACAGAGTTCCTCTTAGGAGAAACCAAATATTTAGAAAGCTGTCCCTGGGCGGCTTCCCTGGTGGCGCAGTGGTTAAGAATCCACCTGCCAATGCAGGGGACACGGGTTCGAGCTCTGGTCCAGGAAGATCCCACATGCCACGGAGCAACTAAGCCCGTGCGCCACAACTACCGAGCCTGCACTCTAGGGCCCGTGAGCCACAACTGAGCCCGCATGCCTAGAGACCGGGCTCCGCAACAAGAGAAGCCACCACAATGAGAAGTCCGTGCACCACAACGAAGAGTAGCCCCCGCCCGCCACAACTAGAGAAAGCCCACGCAGCAACAAAGACCCAACGCAGCCAAAAATAAATTAATTTAAAAAAAAAGATATTTAGAAAGCTGTCCCTGCCTAAGCACTTAGACCAACGCCTGGCCTACAGAAGACACTCCATCAATATGTGAATAAATCTGAATAAACTTTTGAGGAGGGGAATAACAATACAGACACACCTCGTTTTATTGTGCTTCATTTTACTGTGTTTCACAGATACTGCTTTTTTAAACATTTTATTTTTTTTTTTACATTATTTATTTTTTATTGGAGTGTAATTGCTTTACAATGTTGTGTTAGTTTCTGCTGTACAGTGAAGTGAAACAGCTATATGTATACCTATATCCCCCCCCTCCCTCTTGGACCTCCCTCCCATCCCATCCCACCCCTCTAGGTCATCAGAGCACCGACCTGAGCTCCCTGCACTATACAGTAGGTTCCCACTAGCTATCTGTTTTACACATGGTAGTTAGTATATTTATGTCAAACCTAATCTCCCAATTCATCCCACCCTCCCCCCACTTCCCCACAAATTGAATCTTGTGGCAACCCTGAGTCTCTCAAGACTACGGGCGCCGTATTTCCAGCAGCATTTGCTCACTTCGTGTCTCTGTGTCACATTTTGGTAATTCTGACAATATTTCAAAGTCTCTCATTCTTATTTGTTATGGTGACCTGTGATCAGCGATCTTTGATGCTACCACTGCAAAAAGATTGCAACTGGCTGAAGGCTAAAATGACAGCTAACATTTTTTAGCAATGAAATATTTTTTAATTAAGGTTTGTACATTCATTGTTTTTTTAAACATAATACTATTGCACACTTAACAGACTACTGTACAATATAAACATAAATTTTATATGCACTGGGAAACCAAAAAATTTGTGTGACTTGCTTTATCGTGATATTCGCTTTACTGCAGTGGTCTGGAACCAAACCCACAATTTCTCCAAGGTATGCCTATAAATAAATATAACCACAAACATATCTAAGAGGTATGTTAGTTTCTTTTATCAGGAGAAAAAAGGAACTCTCTCCTGAAAGGTTTTGTTAAGTTAATGAATAATGTTTGCTACATAACCTAACAGAAAGAAACAAAAAAAATCAACGGTATAGATCATGTTGACCTGTAGCAGTATTTCTCAAACAGAAAACCATGGATTTATTCCCAGAGATCTGAAAGTGCACTATGAATTTTTAAAATTTTGTGGTGTTTTTTAATGATATCCTAAACAAAATAAAAACACATTCTGAATGACCTCTTTATAATGATGTGTTACCATATAATTTGCATTTATTTTAATGATTGCACTGGTGCCATGTTATACTGAATTGTCCAAGGGTAATAAGAAAGAAGAAAAGCAGTCTTCCTTTGTAAGTGATGCATTTGTGCCCAGGAAAAGGCCACTGCAGTCCTGGCTCCCTGCATGAATGAAGGTTTAATAGCAGCTGAAAGGACAAAAGAGAGCTGAGTCATCCCTGGGCGTATAGAGCAAGCTGCAGAACTCAAGTCCCCAGGCCTGGCAGCCCGCAGTCCTGATCACAATGTAAGTAGGGTTTGGCTTCAGTAAGGCATTCTTGCTCATCACGTTAAATCCACGAGGCTAATTTGTGTTTTACTGATTTTAGAGTTTTGTTAATATTTAATCTGTAAATTTGCTTTGGTTTTATAACATTTAAATGCTATATGAATGAGAAGTGTATATCTACTGCCTTTTGTATTTGTGTATATTTCAATGAAATCATTGAAAAGCAGTTTTAATTAAAGTTCCCCTTGTTTGTTCTTTAGAAACATGTTCCTTCAGGGATCTTGGAACATTTCCCTAGCCTGAGAAACACTAATCAGAGACAGGATTCCAGTCCAGGGAGACAAGGTATGGAATCCTGCACACAGAACCCAGAGTGACTTGATTCATTCTCATGCCTACTTCTCTAATTACTTTGAATTCTGGAATTGAAATCACTAAAATAAACACACACACACACCATAAAACAGCACTAGGTACCTACAACGGGTACAAGTATCTCTTGGGATAAGTGTGTTGGGAAAGTGTGTTTAAAACTGGTGCCAATATTCAGAATTTTCTAACCTCCCTCTCAGAAGAGATTTTATTCTAAGCATTATTTGCCTATTCTCAAGGCAAAAGAAAGATCTTTACCATGTGTGTTGGTCTATAAAGCAAGATAAAGTTTTGAACACTTCAAATTAAAACTGACTATGGGAGAAGTGAAAACAGTTACTATAAAAACAGTTGTTGGCTTTACAGCATTGGCAGTATACAGTTGGCCCTCCTTATCCACGGTTCCACATCTGCAGATTCAACCAACCTCAGGTGGAAAATATGCAGGGGGGGGGGGGGAAAAGACAATTCCAGAAGGTTCCAGAAAGCAAAACTTGAATTTGCCACACACCGGCAACTATTTACATAGCACTTACACTGTATTATGTAGTATAAGTAATCAAGAGATGATTTAAAGTCTGTTTAGGTTATACGCAAATAATACAACATTTTATATGAGGGACTTGAGCATGGTATGGGAATGGGGGCTCCTGGAACCAATCGGCTGTTGATACTGAGGGACAACTATATCTAGTATTTTTACTTTTTTATAAATTTATTATTTATTTATTTGTTATTTTTGGCTGTGTTGGGTCTTCGTTGCTGTGCGCGGGCTCTCTCTAGTTGCGGCAAGCAGGAGCTACACTTCGTTGCGGTGCGCGGGCTTCTCATTGCAGTGGCTTCTCTTGTTGTGGAGCACAGGCTCTAGGCACGCAGGCTTCAGTAGTTGCGGCTCGTGGGCTCAGTAGTTGCGGCACACAGACCCTAGAGCATGCAGGCGTCAGTAGTTGTGGCACGTGGGCTCAGTAGTTGTGGCTTGCGGGCTCTAGAGCATAGGCTCAGTAGTTGTGGTGCACAGGCTTAGCTGCTCTGCAGCATGTGGGATCTTCCCAGACCAGGGCTCGAACCCATGTCCCCTGCATTGGCAGGCGGACTCTCAACCACTGCACCACCAGGGAAGCCCAAGTCTATGAGTTTTTGTATTTGAAATATAATAATTTCACTGATTTTTATTTTGCAGATGCTGAATATTTTAGAAATGGTATTAGTGCTGGCATTTCCATATTATGTGAACGAAATACTGAAACAGCAGTATTATGATTCTGCTTCCTGACTGCTCTCCCTAACCTAGAAGAATGTGTATGAACTGGTAAGATATGTGATCCCCTCCTGAGAGGCTGTTTGTCCTGGACCATCCATTCCCCAAAAGTGAGTCTCACAACCTGTAACTAGCAAAGTACTACTGATGAATCACATTTCAAGTGTTCCTGCTTGAAATGGGGCTGGCCTGTAACCTTCGTTCATGATTTTTAAGTATATGACAGAGAAGCAATGAATAAGTACATGGTACAGAACTAGAGAACTGGAGAACTGGGAATATCTTTTTCTTTTCTTTTCTTTCTTTTAACTCCAAGTCAACAGTTCCTAAATGTGGCTGTGACTGGGGACAAGAGGCATCACACAAACACCAAGGAGGAAACCCAGGAGACCCCGCCTTCGGGCCTGCCTGCCACCACGTGTTCCTGTACCCTCCGTGGGCAAGTCTGGCTCCCAGCATCGCTGAATGCTGAGGCACACACAGCTGCCTCATCTCACCACGCACAATACTGCTAACCGGAACCAGACACTGCCCCGGATGACAAAGACAGCCAATGTCAGGTTCACTCGAGTCTTTATTTTTGAAGCATTTTCTTTTTTTTTTCTAAATTAATTTTTATTGGAGTATGGTCGCTTTACAATGAAGCATTTTCGTTGTATCACTCAATTTCTCACTTGTGAGACCCTCTATGGGGCCCACACAGTCACTCATTCTGTGTGCTATTTGTTTTTCAAGTGTAGATGATGGCCGTGAATAAACGGAAATAAGCCACTACCACCTCTTCTTTAAAATAAGCTGAGGGATACCTTCAAGATGGCAGAGGAGTAAGACGCAGAGATCACCTTCCTCCCCACAAATACATCAGAAATACATCTACACGTGGAACAGCTCCTACAGAACACCTACTGAACGCTGGCAGAAGACCTCAGACCTCCCAAAAGGCAAGAAACGCCCCACGTACCTGGCCGTGTGGCTGACAGGGTCTTGGTGCTCCGGGCAGGTGTCAGGCCTGTGCCTCTGAGGTGGGAGAGCTGAGTTCAGGATACTCGTCCACAAGAAACCTCCCAGCTCCACGTAATATCAA